TCACAGGTGTCAGAACTGTGACCTGTGGTCTAAAAGCTCTCACCACTTAGTCCCACTCCCTGTCCCTTTATTCTTCACAGATATTTCCCCCAATCAACTTTCTACACATTTACTATCATCATAGCTTTTATGTCTCAGAGGAGTGACCTAAAGGATCAAATTTAAAAGATTTGGTTTCCTTTATAGTTTGTGACATAAGGCCCTTTCCTAATGCAGAAAATGGAAATGATATTGCTAATTTTATAGCATTACTGAGACACCTTTAAAAACGATTTGATGTATATGAAAATTGAAGTTTGATTAGCAACTTACTAATGCTCAAAGAGCTAGTATATATAGCTATAAGATGAAATGAAACAAGCAGATCTTCTATAAGTATTGATTTTGGAGATACTTGTATGTATTGATGGTAGAATGTGAATTAGCATAGCACTTCTAGAAATTGTTCTGGCAATATCTATTAAAGTTAAAAATATATATATCTTTTGTTCCAGAAATTCCACTCTTTGAACCTATTTCATAGAAATAAAAAGATGTTTGGTATGGATAACCTGGTGGGGGCGGAGAGGGAGGTACTGGTATGACTTAAGTAGAAATTGGTAAACCAGCTAAAGGAAGTAAAAGAAGAAGAAAAACACTAAAATGGTAGTATGATTTAATACACTTATTAAAATTATATAAATTATATAATTATATTTGGGTGAGAGCATATATAATTTTATTTTATTTAATATGTGAAGAAAAATCAGATTCCCAAAACATCACATCTGGGCCCCATTATCTCAGGAAAGTCTCAAATATGTAATTATAACACCAGGAAATAATAATTGGCAAATATTTGCTGTATCCAAGAGAAACTGTTTCATTTGTCATTTATATTTGTCATCACTTTATCTGTAAATTACCTACATGAAATAAAAATTTTAAATATTTTTTCTTCAGATACGACAAAAAATCAATTATAATGATATTTCTTCGTTGTTTATAGCTCCAGCACGACCAAAAACCAAACCAACCCCTATTTATGACGCCACAGGAAGATTGCTTGTGACTTCAACAACAATTACAATAAGAATGCCAATATGTTACTACAATGATAATCATGGACCAATTAAAAATGTACAAGTGCTTGTAGCAGAAGCTGGAGGTATCATCAAATGTCAACTTATCTTGTTAAACAGTAAAGTGTGAATTACTGAATGGTGTAGAAATTTCAGTTCAAAATTAGTAACATAAGATTGACTCTGATTATCACACAACTCGAGCTTAATAGATTGTCAATATTATCATTAATTATACTAATCATTTATTTATACCTAAACTATTTTACCAAAATAAGAGAAGGCATAGTTAGAATTTGTGATTTATTTATTCCATATGCTAGGAGGATTGTCTTAATTTTAACTAGAAGAAGTCTTGGTAGTTTCTTTAGAGGTGTGAACAAGAGTATTACCCTTGACTGAGTGATGTTTTTTCTCTACCTGGATATCCAGGTAAGTCAGCTGAATCATCCCTGGTGGTTCATAGAATGAGAGATATTGCATACAGATTTTCCTCATGCAATTATAAAGACATCTTTTACAAATGTGAAAGTACATTTATATATTACTTGTAATCATCATTCTTTTTTCTGAAAATAGCGCAGCATGATGGAAATGTAACAAAGTGGTATGATGCATATTTTAATAAACCAAGGCCATATTTTACAAATGAAGGCTTTCCTAACCCTCCATGTATGGAAGGAAAGACAAAGTTCAGTGGAAATGAAGAAATCTATATCATAGGTGCTGATCATGCATGTATGATTCCTGGCAATGAAGACAAAATTTGCAATGGACCTCTGAAACCAAAAAAGCAATATTTGTAAGTGTGATTTATACCTACCATGCATCATGTTAGCAAGCTAGTTGACATCTTTCATCCATCCATCCACTTATCTTTTCATCTTTGCAGTAAGCACTGAGCATCCATCACGTATTGTGAACTGATCTTTTATGCCTTAAGAATGTAAAGATCAACAAGGCATTGTCCTCATATTCCATGACATATAGTTTTATGGAAAAGCAGGCAAACCTAAACATAATTATGTTTGATCAGATAAGTGATATAAGGTCAATATAATATAAAAAATGTGCAATCAGAGAATATAGATAGGAGACCTTAATTCTTTACGTAGAGGACAATGAGACTAATGTATATAATATTTTGTGTTTTTCACTCATTGTTTTTGCCATATATGTAACAATAGTTTAGAAACACTGTCATAGTCTTTTCATTAATAATGGCTTCAGTTTACCTCATTCATAGCAATAATTTTCTGCTCTTTATGCTATCAAACATTTGAATGAATGCTTGATAGCTTTACGACTCACTTTAATATTTGATATTTCATAGATCCTAATAATTAAATATCATACTAAAAGTCAATGCTGATATTTTGGCTTTATTAAATTCTAAGCTAAATGGATTGTTTTTTCTATTAAATTGACTTATTTTGTGTCATAGACTACAATTTTTTAAAATCTTAAATTATTTGATTTTCAAAATACAATTTTTCCTGCTTAATATGAAAAATGCAGCTAGTTTCATCTTTGCCTGTTAATTAAATCAGTATCAAACTCTTTATAAATGTCCTAGGCAAAATTAACATTAGAAAAGTTAGAGAAGTTAGGCATTAAAAAAAAAGTATGCTTTACCATCTATTATCAACTATAGTTACTTTGGTTACTAAGTTATTGCCTGAAATTTAATTATCATACATATGACAGTTATGAAAAAGGTATATCACAAAGTTTCATATCTATTCAAATATTTTTATTTGCATATTTTTTCAAAACAGACTTTTCGTTATAATCACAATAAAATCATAAGAATTTGAAAATAGTAGAGATTAAATTATGCATTGTAATTTTTTAATGTAAACTGGTTATATATTTTTAAATGCCTGAATTTCTATAGTTTTTAAATAAAGTGTTCGAGTTGTCTCTGTGGATGTCAGAAACACCCAGTGATTTTTAAGACTGATTCTCTCCTCCAGCCTTTTCTATTTCATATGTCATAAAAGCACAGAAAGTGAAAATATAGCTGTGCACACACGGAATTAAAAAGTATTGTTCTCAGTTGTATACATAGGAAAAAGATGGTCTATGTGACCATTCTAAATCTGGTTCACCAGTATTTTCAAAGGTGGTTGATGTACTTTGGTTATTATGCTTTACATTTTTAAAATATGTTTGTGCAACACACTTTCATAGAGACATTAAATTATTTCATCCAAACAAATCTGTTAGGGAGCTGCTGACTGCTCTTGAGTCCACCCAAATTCTTAATCACTCTCTCAAGTTCAAGAGGTCCATATATAGGATAATTATTCATCTCACATAAAGATAGTTTATATTTGTCCTGATGGTGAATGAATTCCAAGTTTACATCTTGTAAATCCATTTTTTCTTGAATAAAAATGTTTGTTTTTAATAGCTATTTGTTAAATTATTCATAGAAAATTCATACAAGTTATTGGTTTCTATTTTTTTTCTATTTCATAGATTTAAATTTAGAGCCACAAATGTCATGGGACAATTTACTGACTCTGATTATTCTGACCCTATTAAGACTTTAGGTAAGACGTGTTTTGCAATTTACTTTCATTTATACTCAACATGCTAATCACTGTGCAACATTCATTAGTAAATGTATTAATCCATGACTGAATGTCCTCAAGTATAAATTCATTTCAAGGTTAATTAGCCTAAGAAAAAAATTGTATTTTTTTAAATATTCTTTTAACAGATATATATTCTATCCATTCAAATCTGTACATAGATTTTGATATGGTATTGGTTCTATGCTGATGTATATTAACATTATACTAAGCAAATATTTATCAGTTTAATAGACACTTATAGTAAAATATTTTTACCTAATAAAAATGAAAAATGCTTATGAAAATTTTTCTGAAATAATCTTAAAAACTAGGAGCTTGTTGGTCCTCTTTAATTTCATTTTCTTTCTTTCGATTACATCCACCGATCAGGATTGAATAAAACACAAACATGATTTAGTCAGATGCAAATATATTTCTTTCCTCCTCCTCCTCCTTCTTCTCTGTCATCACCATCATCATATCTAACATTAAATATTCTGTGCCAGGCACACTTTTAGTTCTTTGTATGTATTTACTTGATGGGCTCTTTATCTATCCTTTAATTTAGGTCAGTGGTTCTCAACCACAGTGATTTTACTCTCCAAGAGACAATTTGCAATGTATAGAGCTGTTTTTTATTACAACCACGGGGGCTGAGCTATTGTCATCTAGTGGGCAGATTCTGCTGAACATCTCATAGTACACAACATGGTCTCTTACAGCAAAGAATTATGTAGCCCATAATGTCAATAGTGCTGAGGTTGAGAGACCCTATTCTGTACTAATGATAGCTCCGTTTTATAGATGAGGAAACCAATGCTCATATTGAGTAATTAAGTGGGTGGGCCAGGATTCCAGTACAGATTTCATAATACATTACACTCCAAATACAGGATTTAGACTTGGATTGAAATTTTGGCTCCTCCGCTCAGGGAAATAATTTAATTTCTATAAATCTCAGTTTCTTTGTTTGGAAAATGGTGATAATCGTATCTACCTTGAAAGATTTAAATAAAGCAACATATGTAAAGACATTAATATTTATAGTTAGGAAATTGTTAAATGCTTAATAGCCTCTTTTTGAATAGGTTATAACCAAAGACTTTAGAAACATACTTCTTCTTTAGAAACATACTTCTATTTCCCTAGAATTTCTCTGAGTGGATCACAACTTCCAATTTCCCTGCATGAGGCCTTGAGAATGTAAAACATGGTTTACTCCTCAGGTCCACAGTCTATCATCAGCTGCAATAGATTTCAGTGAGAGTTGTGGCTGGAAGATAATTGTTCCACCATCTCCAGTCAGAAATTCTCACCAGGCTGTGGCACATCAGCTGTATAAAAAGCCAGCTTCTGCAGCCTCTACTTAGTTAAGGAAACTTTGTATCTTGAAGAAATAACAAAGGGGCATTAGGTTTGCTATATGCCTGTTTACAGAGGAATAACAAATTTCTTTGACGATGATAATTCTATAAAATCATGGGTTTGATTACTTTTACCCAATAATTTAATCAATTTTAAACTGTATGATTAGACTTGTGATATTGAAATTGTGTGTGTTTCTTGATTTGATAGGTGGGTTTATCACACTCTAATACCAGCACAGTAAAGTAAATGTCTTGAAGGCATCAACATAATTTCCTGTAGGTTACAGCATTCAGAAACTATTACCCCAGCCATCTAGTGAGCCTACTGTGCTCACTGATAGAAGAAGAGACAAAGACAGGGTGGATAGCTCATATGTCCTGAGAGATGACATTTTGTAGGAGCCGTACTGAAAAGAGATCGACTTGCCCTGTTGTGTGTTGTGTGCCATGTCTCTCATAGCTTGTTGGTTTCATACAGATTATTTATGTAAGGACCACACATTCAGTTATCTGAGAGACAAAGCTGAGACATCCGGGTGACGGGAATGAGAAACAAAAGCCATAAAAAGCAGAAAAGCCAAGCATCTGGGATTATGGTGACAGGGAAATGATTCTTCTGATTCAGCCAACTGGCTTCCCTCTGGCCAAGGACGGGCTCTTCCCTCACTTTGGTCATAGGTAGTCTGTGTCCTCGGAAATGGTCTTCTTTTCTTCCTGTCTCTCACAGCACTGTGAGTGGAATACAATAATTAATTCTAGAAATTAACAGAAATACAGTCAGTTCTTGGTTCCTTCTTTGGAATCATAACTACCACCATGCCAGTCATTCAGATACTAATATCTGTGTGCCCTAGTAACAACAGGAGTCTAGAAGGGATGTGGAGATGTGGAATGGAAGGCGGAGAACAGGATCTTACCAGGGCTAGGGAAGGAGGACCTCATGAGACATAGACTGGATGCAGTAAGTAGAAAACCACTAGGTTGGTAAGGGGTGATGACAAGCAAGGATCCCATGTATCTGTGGTCAAATTTCTCAGAGTTCATATATTATCTGCAGACC